TGACGGATTTTGATGTCTGCGTCCCCCGACAGGTTTGTGTGTTGCATTTGACCTGGCCTACAGTACTCGTCTTCCAGTTTCAGGTTCCGGCACATGACTCCATGACCGGAGTACGCAACGTCCACTTCGGGATCCTGAAAGACACTATTAAGAGTAGGCCGCACGTCCAGAGATTTATGTGTGTCTTAGAACTGCAAGCGCTGAGACCGACTGAGAACTGCCAAAACCAGTTTGGGGTAGGTGGAGTCGTGTCGCTTAGACATAAGAAAGCCATGCATGAACATGACGGATTTTGATGTCTGCGTCCCCTGACGGGTTTCTGTGTTACGAATCCCCTGGCTCACAGCCTAGACCTAGCAAAGACATGCACGAACATGAAGGATTTTGATGTCTGCGTCCCCGGACAGGTCTGTGTGTTGCGAGTCTCCCTGGCTTACAGCTCGTGCAATAGCATTATCGTTGGCCTTTTTTGCAACATCATGTCCGCGACACCAGTGGATGAGGTTATCGAGATCGACTCGGAGTCCGACCGGGAGACGGAGCGCACGCCTCCTTCGTCGCAGGAAACATCCTCTCACACGTCTCCTACCTCCGCGGAATCTGGCGGACGCAGCCGCCGCAACTTCCAGCAGTGGGCTCCGCACTACGGCTTCGGAGACTGTGTCGGTGTGGAAGAGGCTTGCGACATGGGCCCAGGCGGCGGGCCCGCCGCGGCGGGCCCGCCGCAGCGGGCCCAGCAGGCCTATGTGACCTTTGCAATCTGCCGGATCTGCCCGAAGTACACCTTTTCGGACAGGGCCGGTTGACCCACCTACTTCTCCAGCTCAGTCCCGAGAAAGCTCAGGTGGCCCTTCGCCGCATCGAAACCGTGGACGGCGACATCGCTGCCGAGCTACGCCTGCGTATGCAACGGGCATGGCGCCGGAAAGATCCAAGCCGCCCCCGCCGAGCTGCGCGCGGACCGTACAAGAAGTCCCGCAGGGCAAGTCCGGTTTGCAACGCAGAGTGGCAGGCGGTGACAGACGAGTCGGAGCTCGGCGACTACCACGACATGCAACCGGATGCGGACCCAGAAGCTTTCGTCGGCATTCAAACGGAGGTTCACAAGGACAACACGGAGGTCGAGAACACGAAGGAGGACATCCCCAGGGACTACATGGACGCGGCTGCGGAGAGAGGCACGAAGAGAGCGCAGAGTCCAAAGGTGATGCCTCGCCGCAGCGCCCTACGACCGCGAGAGAGTGTGCAAGCGGCCCGCGCGGGTTGGGCGCTCCAGGAGCACTTCCAAGAAGTCGACGAGGGACAGCTCCTGGTCCTGGAGGACGTCCAATTCAAGAACTGCTGTTTGCCGCTGGCGGTGGCACGCAGCTTGGAAGGACTCGAGGCCACCAGAACGGCCGTGCACAAGTGTGCAGCGCTGTGGATTGAAGGCCTCCCCGAGCACTTGCGGAACGCGGTCACCAAGAACGAGGCGAAGCCGGGGGAGATGTTGTTTGATGACTACCTCGCAAAGGTGGTGGAGGACGACACTTCCATGATCGCGTGCCTCGTCATCCCCCAAGACAACATCACCCGCGTATGGGCTGGCAGAAGGGCGGGATTGACAACGAGCAGAGTGATAATCCTGAAGTACGTGCCATGCCACTTCACCTCGTTGCTGCCGAAGCACGGCGATCCGCCCATTGAGATGCTACTGAAAGGCTTACCTCCTGTACAGGCTTTCTCATTTATTGGCACCGCAGAATTAAGGGAGAGCATGTGCAACGCACAAAGGACTTCGTGAGAGCACAGTCGGACTCGCAATGCGTGTATCAGCCAGTCTCGTGGCCCGGCCATCTTAGCACAGATCGCAACAGGACAGCTGTCGGAACGTGAGTCGAGTCGAGAACGGCGTATCGCCGGTCTATTCCTCGGCCATTTTCGGATGCACTACAGGCGATTATCGTTGACGGCCAGCTGGAGCACAAAATCAGCAGAGCGTTAGAATGCACATACTTGGTGGAGCCATGTCGCTTAGACCTAGTAAAGACATGCACGAACATGACGGATTTTCATGTCTGCGTCCCGGACGGGTCTGTGTGTTGCGAGTCTCCTTGGCTTACAGGTCCTCGGTTCTGCAGACATGTGAAGCCGATTCTTTGTATTTAGATCTTGGTCTGAATCCGGCAGGAAATCTTGTTGCGTCGAGATTGTTCGGCTCGCAGCTTGAAGATACAGGCATGACAGGACAAGCTGGGCCCAGACAACACATCCACGGACTGTAGCTTTCCACTGCCAGCGGAAGCAGCAAGCCTCGCACACTCAGCCGAAACCCACTCGCAGTAGGAAGACATTGTATGTGCACATCTGACGCCGTTAATCGTTTATGTCTAGAGCTCATGTCGGTCCATGACAGGTTCGTCCCATGTTGATGTTCCTTTCTTCCAGTTTGAGATTCCAGCACATGACTCCATGACCAGACTACACAACGTCCACTTCGAGATCCTCAGACACACTATTAAAAGTAGGCCGAACATCCATGTGTGTCTGTGAACTGTAAGCGCTGAGACCCGACGGAGAACCGCCGAAACCAGTTTGGGGTAGGTGGAGTCGTGTCGCTTAGACCTGGCAAAGCCATGCATGAACATGACAGATTTTGATGTCTGCGTCCCCTGACAAGGTGGCGAGTTGCGGGCTCTCTGGCCTACAGCTTAGACTCGCTTAGACCTGGCAAAGCCATGCATGAACATGACGGATTTTGATGTCTGCGTCCCC